TGAGGGCTAATCTCACTGGGGTTAGGTCATATGATAGGGTGGTTTTGATTTGCATTTCTCTGATGTAAATCTGCTATCTTTTCAAAGTCTTCTGATTTTCCTAGCTGCTTTACTTTTCATCTCTTGTCTTTTTTGGGTCAACTGCTTTTATTTCTTCCCATTTGTTTCCTTTTGCAGGTCTGGTAGTTGCACTTTTCTTCAATGCTTCCTGACCTATCAGAGGTGACTGGTGCCCTCTGTCTCATTTTTCTTTATATACTGTTGTTGGCTTGTATTTTAATTACATGTTTCCTAAGACCCTTTATTTGTAAATATTTACATTACTATTACATACAGTCATGCTCATTTAGACTCCCACACAAACCTGCCACTTTTTTCTACTGCCTGCTCTCCTCCCCAGAACAGCTCTCACTTCCCTCTAACAGAGGAGGAGACTAAGGGTCAGAGAGGGGAAGGGAACACTCAAGCTCCCACACCTGTGAAGGGTCTGCTCACACTGAGGCCCTGCAGAGGAGGGCCTTCTCTTGTCCCTGGCCTCATATGTGGGTTATCACTTTTGAAGTGCATCCTCTCATGGCAAGCCTGCTACAGGAAACACTCAGTTTTTGTCTGTGTAAAGAATTATTTTAGGTCAACAACGGTATTAATTTCTTCTTGCTGCTATAACAAATTGACACACCTCATGGCTTAAAACCAATTTACTACAGTGCAGCTGTGTAGGCCAAGCTCTCATGGACTGCGCCAGGCTCCAGGGAACAGTCTGTGTCCTGCCTTTTCCATCCAGAGGCCTTCTGCTTCAGGGACAGGGTGTGGCCCCTTTGAATCTCTCTATAACTGGACCCTTCTGCCTTCCTCTTGTGATTGGGGTTAGTGGGCTCCCAGATCATCTAGGACATGGTCCCTATCTCAAAGCCTTAACTTAATCCCAGCTGTGACATTAACTCTGGCTGTGCAGGGTCAAATGTTCCAGGCTGAGGGTGCTGCAGGGTGTCATGCCGGGCAGTGAAACAAGCCTGCAGTTGGGGCTCTTTGAGCATGTCCCTTGGTGAGGTGGGGGAGGCAGTGGCTCAGGGCAGCTCCTCTTCTGATCTACCTCCTGCATCTCTGACAGGTGGGTCTTCAGGGCCGCTGGTGTTGCTCACTGCCCAGGATCCTACCCCCCATGCCCCGGGTGCTGAGCCACCTCCTGGCTTCCTATGCAGCTGCTGGAGTGGCCTTTCCCCCCAGCTCCCTGGGGGAGATGGGCCATTGCTGTTGGATATAAGACCCATCCTTGAGGATGGAGTTGGCTTTGGGGTCCTGACAGAACTTTCTTGAGTGACAGCAAGCGTGTGAGGGGCTGTGGGCAGTGCCCCCCCACCCCCCAGCTATCCTGCAGCCCACCTGATGAGTACCTCGTGGGCTTCATGCGCACAGCCCTGTTGTCCCAGCTTCCCACCTACTCCTTGCATGCCTGGCTCCCAGGGCTGGGGTAGGGCCCCAGAAGGGGTCACCTCCCTCCCACCTGTGTAGGGTGTCAGTGTGAGCAGAACCTAGTTGTAGTGGAATCCTGAGTGTTCCTTCCCCTCTCTGATCCTCAGTGTCTTCCTCTGTCAGAGGGAGGTGAGAGCTGCTCTGGGGGAGGGCAGGCAGCAGTAGGTGCCCCTGGGGTTTCCTCTGGCTCTTGCAGGATAGCCTTTGCCCTAAGGATGGAGAGGCCTGGTGAGGTGGCTCACGCCTATAATCCTAGCACTCTGGGAGGTGGAGGGGAGCAGATCGCCTGAGCTCACAGGTTTGAGACTAGACTGAGCCCGAGCTAGACCTCCGTCTCTAAAAATAGCCGGGCACTGTGGCCAGCACCTGTAGTCCCAGCTACTTGGGAGGCTGAGACAAGACAATTGCTTGAGCCCAAGAGTCTGAGGTTACTGTGAGCTGTGACACCCCAGCACTCTACCGAGGGCGACAAAGTGAGACTCTGTCTCAACAACAACAACAACAACAACAAAGGATGGAGAGGCCCGGAAGTGGGTAGGGGGCTGGGTGAGTGTCACTGAGGTGAAAAGGTGAAGTCTAAGTCCCCAAATCCTGGCTTGCCCTGTGAGTGACTGGAGAAAAGGATGGGGGCGAAGAAACCCACAAAAGCAGGATTTCTTCCCAGGGGGGACAGAAGACCCAGCCCCAAGCTGGGGCAGGGATCCAGGGCCTTCTCTGAGAGGCAGCTTGGAGGGCTCCTCTGAGGTCCCGCGGGGGAACTTCGGCTCCAGCCAGCTCCGCGGGGACTGGCTCTGGCCGGCCGCCTGTCGCAGATGAGTGGGGACGTAGAGGGAGGCCAGAGTCCGATCCCGGAGGACTGCAGCGTTAATTTCAGGGCGCCGGACACGATTTTCCGGCGGGGGGGGGGATGAGGAAGCGTGTACAGGAGACATCTGGGGCCTGGGGGGCTGGACTAGGGGGCTTCCAGTTCCTGGGTGCCACCCGTCCAGCGTGCTGCCGCTGTGCAGTGCTGTCGCCGTGGCAACTGGCGCTGCGCAGGGGGCGGAGGCGCCGGGATCTCTCGCCCTGCGCAGTACCCGGGTCCCGCGGGGGCGCGCGGCCAGGGGGCGCGGGGCGGGGCTTCGGGCCGGGGGTGGTGCCGCGCGGGCAGGCGGAGCTGGAGCGGATCCGAGAGGAGCTGGAGCGGCCTCGGCTGGGCCGGCCCGGCGCGGCGCAGCATCTGCCGGGCGGCGGGGTAGGCGCAGGCCGGGCTGGCGAGACTGGCTGGGCGCGCGTCTGCGTCCGCGGAGTGGGGCCGGGGTCCGGGCGCCGCTGCTGGCTGGGCCTGGGCGACCCCCACCCCAGGGGACGTAGGGGATGTGGGATGGCGTGAGGGGCGCTGGAGGGGTGAGGCCTGGGGCTGCGGGGTGCCGGATACCAGGCCCTGGTGGGGGAGACGAGGAGACGCAACCCGCTGGGAGCGGCTTGGCCCCTACCGACAGCCCACGGGGGAAGGGGCAGTGGTCCTTCCTCTTGCCGTGCCCCTCCACTCATGGACACTGAGGGGATGATTTGTGTTGGGAGACCCTGAGAGCGTGGGGGAGGGGGAGGGCAAGGAAGGGCCTGGAGGCGCCAGAGTCTATGGGTGAGGCCTGAACAGTGGGGCGGGGGTAACAGGGGCCTGGGACCAGATCTCTAGGGAGAGGCCTGGGCAGGGTGTGTGTAGGGGGGTGGCCATGTGGGATTCCAGCTTCCTGGGGCGGGGGCTCTCGGGGGGATGGGATCTGTCCCATCACTAGTGCAGATCCCTCTGCCCGCGTTTGGCGAGTGACTGAGCCATTCAGGGGGCTAGTCATGGGGCAGATGGGGATGAAAGATGGGAGGGCGGGTAAAGGGTTAGAGGTGCAGTGGCTATCTGGCTATTTGGCTTGGCCAGACCCTGAGAAAGGAAATACCCAAGCTGCAGTTGCAGTCAGAGGAAGTCCAGGTGGGACCAGAGCGGCTTCTTGGCTTTGAAGTGTCTATCCAGTGGGTGTGAAAAGGGGTTGATGCTGGTCAGGAGCTGCACCTCTTGGAGGCCAGAAGGTGGGGTATTGCTGAGGATGCCAAGCTCTTCTCTTCGGGAGGTGCCAGAGGTCCCAGGGGGCTAGGGGTCCTGCGTATGGCTGTGGGGTCTCTTAGCAGGCAGGTGTGCAGAGTTTGAGACTTTCCTGGATGGGCAGGGGCTGCAGTGCCACCAGGGGCAGGCCGTGTGCTGGACTGTCATAGGGACATTAAATTTTATGTCTTTGTCTAGACAGGGCTGTAAACGGAGCCCAAGGCCTGGGGTACTGTGGAGGGCTGGGAGGGGTTTGGCTGTGAGTGAGCTTGCCAGTGGCTTTTCAGTGGGTGAGGGCATTCAGGTCTCTGTCATCATCCTGGTGAGTGAGCCCAGGTGTGGGGTCCCACAGTCAGGTGTGGGACTCTGACAAGTTCAGCCATGAAATCAGTGTCAGGTGTATGAGAGAGGTGCAGCGGTGGTGGAAGCTTAGGGGCCATGGGGTGCTTCTTCTTGGGCTGGCTTCTTGAGTTTGTCCAGGAAGGTAGAGGGAAGCCAGTGGCAAGGGCCCACCGGTGCAGAGGAGCAGTGTGGGTGTGCTGGTTCAGAGGGCGATGCAGCCATGACAAGAGAACACTGGCCCAGGGCAATGGGGAGCCATGGTGGGAGCAGGGCAGAGGGAGGTCTGCCTGGCCCAGGAGGAGCGGTTGAGACAGCCTTGGCTGGTAGGAGATGGTGGGGACTGCAAAGATTTGGAGGATTCTCAGTCCTGGTTCAGAAAGCCTGCCCGGAGCCCTGCCTCTAGGGACAGGGTCCCAGGTCTCCTTTGGCACTCACTGAGTGGTGGAAGAGAAGGGGTAGGCCTCGCTGTCTGCCCAGTGCGGTGCCGGCTAGGAGGGAGGATGTCCAGCACCCCACGGAAGTGGACTGGGGCTGGCAGCCCGGGCGTGAGGTCCAGCCGTGAGAGCTGGGAGGGACGGTGGCACAGGCCCAGCAGTGACAAACCACCCGGGCTTCGGGAACGCGCGGCAGGGAGAGAACACTTCCGTTGCGTGTCCTTCCTGGCAGTGGTGGGAACGAGGTCTTAGTCCCGCAGGTGGGGCTGCAGCGCCCCCTGGAGGCCCAGCTCCCCGGCTCCGGGTCTCCTGTTTGCCCATTGGCGGGTGCGTGCGACAGAGGCCTCGGGCGTCCAGCACCCGGACGGCGCCCGCTCAGAAAACACACTGCGGGACTTAGAGGGAGGGCCCCCGCGCGCCTGGCCCTCTGTGTTCCCGAGTCCACCCCTGGACCGCGCCCTGACCCTCTCTCCTCTGGTTTTCCCAGGTTTCGAGCTCCCCAGCGGGGAGCGGTGGCACTCTCTGGGCAGGTGGACAGGCCCAGCGCCGGCCGTGCCGCGCCATGCCCGCGGGCTGAGTGCTGCAGAGCGCCGCCGCGCTCCGGCCGCTGCAGGGCCTCGTCCCGCCTCGCGTGGGGACTGTGCTTGCCCAGGCCGGGGCCCGGGCGGCTGACCATGGTGCTGCCGCCGCCGGACCGGCGCCACGTGTGCCTAACCACGCTGGTGATCATGGGCAGCATGGCTGTAATGGACGCGTACCTGGTGGAGCAGAACCAAGGCCCGCGCAAGATCGGCGTGTGCATCATAGTGCTGGTGGGCGACGTGTGCTTCCTGCTGGTGCTGCGCTACGTGGCCGTGTGGGTCGGTGCGGAGGTGCGCACGGCCAAGCGCGGTTACGCCATGATCCTCTGGTTCCTATACATCTTCGTGCTGGAGATCAAGCTGTACTTCATCTTCCAGAACTACAAGGCGGCGCGACGTGGCGCGGGCGACCCCGTGGCGCGTAAGGCACTGACGCTTTTGCTGTCGGTGTGCGTGCCTGGCCTCTTCCTGCTGCTGGTGGCGCTGGACCGCATGGAGTACGTGCGTACCTTTCGCAAGCGCGAGGACCTGCGTGGCCGCCTTTTCTGGGTGGCACTCGACCTGCTGGACCTGCTGGATATGCAGGCCAACTTGTGGGAGCCGCCGCGCACCGGGCTGCCGCTGTGGGCCGAGGGCCTCACCTTCTTCTACTGCTACATGCTGCTGCTGGTGCTTCCGTGCGTGGCGCTCAGCGAGGTCAGCATGCAGGGCGAGCACATTGCGCCGCAGAAGATGATGCTCTACCCGGTGCTCAGCCTTGCTACTGTCAACGTGGTCGCAGTGCTGGCGCGCGCCGCCAACATGGCGCTCTTCCGAGACAGTCGCGTCTCGGCCATCTTCGTGGGCAAGAATGTGGTGGCTCTTGCCACCAAGGCCTGCACCTTCCTGGAGTACCGCCGCCAGGTTCGCGACTTTCCGCCACCTGCGCTCGCGCTGGAGCTGCAGCCGCCACCCTCGCAGCGCAACTCCGTGCCGCAGCCCCCGCCATTGCACGGCCCACCCGGGCGCCCCCACGGGCCGTCGCCCACGCGTGACGTCTTGGACACGTGACAGGGCCGGAGCGGTTCCGAGGACGACTCTGGGGCGCAGAGACACTGGGTGTGCGGTTTGCATGGGATAGGGTAGGGTCGGGCGCCCCCCGGGGGCAGGTGCGGAGAGTGCCGGTGCGCGCGGTGGCTTCTTCATCTCAGGAATCCCTCGGACCACGGACTCTCAGCCCCGCCCCACCTGCCAGGCAGTTTTTGAGGCCTGGGCACCGGCAGAGCAGAGGTGGTCAGTCCTTGCCTGCTGGGCCGCCGGATTGGCAGGGAGGGCAGTGGGAGCCTCTGGCTCGGAGTTTGGGGCCAAGGAGGCCCCTGTCATTTTAAAGACCTGTGTTTACAGTTTTGTATCAGAGGCTGTACTGCTTTGCCTGTTTCACAATGTGTGTCTTTAACGGCTGGCTTGGATGCGTGAAAGGGAGCTGAGAAGGCGGTATCGGGTATTGGTCTTCGTCCAGTCCCTTCCTAGGACCCTCCTTGGGTGGCCCTCAGAAGCTCCACTCCTCTGGGCTCACTTTTCCCATCTCTAGAGGGACCAGGGCCCAACTCTGCTCTGTTACTCTGGGGGTACCTTGAGCCCCTCTTTCACATGCCATGGGCATCCTGGTCCCATGTCTCCCCCACCTCAAGCCTAGAAGTCCCGCAACCCCCTAGGTTCTCCCTCCCTGCTGGTGGGCTCCTCCAGCCTGGGATCCAAAGCTAGTTGGGATCAAGTGCTGGCTTTGCTTCCTCATTGATGTTGCACGCCCAGGCCGGAGTCCTGGAGCCTGGCCCCCATACCAGCCCGGCTGGCCTTGCCCCAGACACTTGGGCTTGCACTGCCTGACCCAGGTGGCATACCTATTGCCCCCATCTGCAAGGCCCTGCATCTGTGATGTGACCTGGGGCTTCAACAGGCCCAGGAGGGTCAGTAGCCTTTGGGAGGAGGCCGTGAAGATGCAGAAATGCCTGTTGTGATTGGAGATGGTTGTATGTATACACTGCCCATGGTGCACCTGCACTAGAGAGCCCCCACGGTGTGCCACATTGATCTCCATTTCCTGTGTCCCTCTAGCCCACCGGTGGCAAGGTTTTGCTGTAACCACACAGAAGGGTGTGAAACTTGCTGTGTCCTCCCTGAGTACCTCTTCCGAGGACTGTGGCAGTCAAGGGTGTGACTGGAAGAGGTTAGCAGGTGACCGGACCTGAAAAGCCAGGTGTGGCCCCACTCCCATGGCCAGCTTGCTACCACCTGGGGTCTGGCCTTGGAGAGTCACCTGTCTTTCAGGCCACTGCCCTCAGTTGCACAAGGGCTACTTCCCTGGCTATAACCCTGCCTTAATCAAATGTGGCCTGTCCTCTGACCACACCCTCCTCTGTGGACTCCCATAGGAGTCTGTGTGTGGGGTGGGACTGTGTCTGCATTGCGAGTGAGCCACACAGGAAGCCCTGGAGAGACCACAGGTAAGGATAGGGGGACTTTGGGAATCTTGTGGGGATTGGGGCAGGGTCTGACATGTTCTTGCCAATGTGTGGTCTAGGTTAGGGGCCACTGGGTGGAGCCTGAGGCTAGCAGCAATTTTGCAAGTCTTTAGGCAGCAACCCCTAGCCTGCTCTGTAGTCTCCCAGTGAAGACAAGTCTGCAACAGCACTGGCTCTGGGCACTTCACTGGCGAATCCTGTGGAAAAGACGGGGCAGTGTGATGACTGATGGGTGGGGTTGTGGAGGTCCTAGGCCCTTTGCTGCCCCTGCTGTCCTACTTTGGCTTTTCCTGGAGGACCCTTGCTGGTCCATGGGTCTGGGGAACTGTGGGGCAAGCTTTGCCTGGATTGCCCCCATGTTTATGTGTCAGAGGTGGGATGGGTGGCCACCTGGTGAGTAGAGAAGAGGCTAATGGCATGCCGACCCCCAGGCACCCTAGCCTGTATGCTCCCAGCTCTGCCTGGCCTGTTTGGGGGTGTGGCCAGGCTCACTATGCTCCTCAGTGCTGATCAACACCTCCCCCTGTGCCTCCTCACCCTCCCCAGCAGCATCCTGTGGTGGGGATCCAGGTCCCAGCTGTCCGTCTCCTAAGGAGCCAGGGACCCTGCCTCCAGTAGTCCTGACTTGGTTTAATGGCCCCTGCCCTGTGACTGTGTCTCTGAGAACATCCAAACAGACAGTCCCCAAGGCTCATGCCTGCACCCACTGTTACCATGACATTGACCACAGCTGCAGCCACAGGAGGGCTAGAAACCAAAGACCTTTAGCAGGCTCAAGGCCCAGGGCTTCTGTCCTCTGGGGTCTCGCACATTGTATTCCAGCCTGCCCCTCCTCAGCTTCCTGAGGTGGTCTGTAATGGCCAGATGTAGCAGGGAAGCCAGCCAGCCAGTCCCCTGTCCTCTTGCCGAGGCCTCTGTCAGTTCGCAAATCCTGGTGAGTATACACTGGAGCCAATGCACAGCTGAGGTAGGACCATCCCTGAGCATGTGGGAGGCTGATGCCTGGGTACAGACACACTGTGAAGAGGCCAGATGGTCGGCTGTCCTGGGCACATCGGAGTCATCCCAAGAGCCACACACAGGGACCCACAGGGGTCACAGCATGGAGGTGAAGACTGGGTTCACTGCTCCCCAGGGAGGAGTGGTGTGTGGTCTCCCACAAAGGCATCTGGAAGGGCTTGGGAGCTGAGAACAGGGTGGGATGCTGAGCAGGGCCTGACCAGAATGGAGGCTGGTCAGTGATGGAAGCTGGTCACTGGGAAGGCCGTTCTGCAGCTGACTACCCAGAAACTTTGGGCCAGGAAGGGGGCAGCGTTCTGGGGAGGAGAGAAAATGGGCAGTGTAGGTCATGTCCTGGGGAGGGAGTTGTTTTAGGCACTGTGCCCTTCATGACTAGCCCATCTCTCGTCACCAGGGCCCTTTCTGCCCTTGCAGCCCCCTCCCCCTTGCAACATCAGATGCCATCTTCATCATCCTCCAGAGGGTGTGAGAGTCAGTCAGGGTCAGAGAGAAAAGCCCTGTCCCTCCATACATGTGTTCCCTGCTGACACCTGAGAATGGGATTTGCCACCCTAGCTGAGCTGTCCTGGGGAGACACCATATTTCAGATGCATGGGAAGCTCTGACATATCGCCATTTGAGGCTGAACCAAAGCCTCATGTCTCTTGCCCAGACACACCTGAGGCCCCAGGCCCTGCCCTGCTTTAGCTCCCCTGGCACCCAGGAGCTCAGGAGCTTCCCATCCTGCTCTAAGGAAACCCTGGCCTGGTAACCCTCCCACTGTACTCAGCCCCTTAATGTGGAGACCAGACTGTAGCCAGGATGATATTTGTTATCTCGCTTAGTGGAAGTTGGAGGCAAGCTTCTCCAGGGATACTTGGACAGTGCAGCCATGCCTCAGAGGATCCAGGTGCTTTCTACCCTCATTTGCCCTCTTGGTGGGTTGGCAATGTCACTCTGAGTCATCACAAGGGACCATGACAACATCTGGTGTCACATCATCTCACAAATGGAGGAGAGGAGCAGGATCCTCCTGTAATCCCCTCTCTTGGTAGGAGGGTCCTTCCAGGAAGTGCTCAGCATGTGTGCCCTCATATCCCAGAACCTTTTCCAGGTCCCAGGCCCACCCAGAGCCTGTTCCAAGACAATCCCAGTCTCTGTTGCTGGCAATGCGGAAAGAGATAACCATGAGTACTCTCAGGGCACCAGGTGAGCCTGCCGCAATGTCAGGGACTCAGGCAGGATTCCAGAGTCTGAGACCAGGGGCTTCCTTAAAGCACAGTGGGCAGTGGGAGCACTAGTGTGGCTGTGCTTCCTTGTTGGGGGTGGGAGGGCCTGGGGGGTGCTGCACACTCAGCTGACAGGAGCCCACTCTTCCTCTGACGTTACCCAGGGTTCTCTGATGTGGCACGAAAAATGCTCAGCTGCTTGGTCTAGTTTGCCTTCTGCCGAGCTGCAAGCTGCTGGTTGCTTTTGATCATGCATAAGCCATCGTTGTGACCATCTAATCATGCCAGCACATGTTTCGACCCCCAGACAAAGCAATGTCCAATTAAACCCTCACAGAGGCCACCCAGCTCCAGTGCTGTGTCATCCACCCTGTGTTCATTTCTCTTCTAGGTGATTCCCGTAGCAAAGCCCAAGCCTGGGGAAGTTGTACTGCTGCTCTGCCTAGGGTTGGCCTGGTTGAAGCCCCATCTACTCTCCTTCTCTGAGCAGAGAGGGACCAGCTATGTTCCCCCATTTCCCTAAGTAGTGAGGAGAGGCTGGGTCAGGCCCAACTTCACCTGCTGTATCTATGTCACAGACATGAGATGGACCACTCAGAGAACATTTGAACTTCTGACCCTTCATCTTCCATTCTGGAGCATACTCACATTTTCTGTAGGAAAATAGCCTTATAATAATAAAAATCCAATTTAGTGAAATTGAAGTCACTCATCTTAATATGTAAAGCTTCATGTTATCAGTTTCATTTTGTGCTGTGAAATAATGGAGACATACTAACTGATGACCCCTGATGAAAAAGCCAGCCATAATAGTCATTGCTAAGTTTGGCTCTGCTGACTACTTCTGTCTTTGCAAGAGCCCTGCTTGCTAATGCACCAGCCTGGGGGCGGGGGGCGGGCAGGAGGCCACAAAGCAGTTGCAATTAAATTTCAACATGAATTTTGGAGGGTGCATTCAAACCATATAGCAGGTGTTGCTGGATCAAGGACTCCATATACCTGTCACCCAAACCAATCAATGGAGAAGTGGATAAGAGTTCAACAATTTCACTTTTATTTACAAAAAGCCAGAAATCTGGAGAATAGCAAGTATACCTCCTCAAAGAGCTGTTCTGCCTCCTGTTCCCCCTTTGTTACTTTTATATTCTCATAGTAAACATCAGCAATGTTACTACTCATCATAGTATACTTAAACAGAGTCCTCATAGGTTACAGGTTACACAGTATATTTCCATCTTAAAGTGGTTACATCTTCAAAACCTTTTTACTCTAGATTAAGTTTATAGCTAGTCAATACTTTTGCTGGATGCATAGAGTGGCCTGGGTCCTTGACCAGTACCATGGAGTTCAGTCCCCCAACTTCTCTACGACAGCAGGCCTTGGAAT